CATTCCTCACACATTTCATAGCTTTACATTGCATCATTCCATAAACTTTTTACATAGCTTTTTAGAGCCATTTCTTGAGGAATTGAGTGTGTTCTTGATCTAAATTAGTTTACTCATATTCTACTCTTTAAGAGAGTTTTTGTTCTTGAGTGGTTAAGTGTGGTGAACACTTTAAGGGAGGTTTGTTCCCTTGGTTGTACGAAGGAAGGGCATATTCCTTTGAGTTGAAGTCTTGGAGTGCGGTATCTCCGAGCAAGTGTATTGAGGCTCGTGGGACTCGAGTTCTCAGGTTGTAACGGTTTGTTAAGCACCCGTAAGCTTAACGGAAGTAGTGTAGCTCGAGAGAGTCTCTCGGGAGACTGGACTAGCCACACGTTGTGGTGAACCAGTATAAATCTTGGTGTGCTCTCTTTACGCTTTTTACGCTCTTTATTTTTTAGGTTCTTTACTTTATCCCTGCGATTTTTATTCCGCGAAAATTTATAAACATTCTCGTGCCTCACTATTCACCCCCCTCTAGTGAAGGGCACTTATTCTAACATCAATAAGATGTCTGTTTTTTTGTTCTGCAAACCTATCCTGTTCAGGAGTATAGGGACATTATCTTTGGTGAAGAACCCCCAACTATTGTAAAAACCAACCAAAATTTTTGTTGACATATTCAAGACCATTATTAGTTAGAAAAATCTTATTTTTAGTATGAAATTGATTTTGGAACATAGATTGAAAACTTTGAAATGCATCATATGCTTTAGACTTGTGTTTGAGAGGGTACAACCAACAAAGTTTGGTAAAATCATAAATAAAATAAATGTAAAAATGATATCCCCCCCCCCCCCCCCCCCCACCAAAAGAGGGAACAAAGATAAGTTCCCATACATGAGAGTGCACTAATTGAAAGGAGCAGTAATAGTAGCTTGTGATAAAGAAAAACGAGTTTTATGAAACTTAACAACAGAACAAGAATTGCAATGATCATGTTCTAAACACTTGAAACCTAACTCAGACAGTAAAGACTTAGTAACTTGAGGTGATGGATGGCCAAGACGATAGTGCCACTGGTAAGTCGTTGCCTTGACAGCATTCATCATCACTAGAGGAGTGAAAGGCGAGGAGAAGTACAATCAACACTCATAGGGACCTCGAAAAAGCACTTAGTTGGTGGTGCTGTCCCGAATCATTAAGTCCTTGAAAGTAAAAAGAAGATTGTAGATATTATCTTTGGTATATTGGTGAATAGATTAAAGATGAGATTGAACGGAAGGGGCATGAAGGATGGTATTTAAGAGAAAATTGCCATTGATTGTCGATATATTATCTGAGTATGTGTGAAAGATGGGAAAGGTATTACCTCCAGTATTGGTGATAGAATATGCGCCTTAATATAGTGAGAGATTTTATAGCCTCAAGAGATCAGAAGTCACACGGGCATTTGGTCCAGTATCCAAGTGCCATTTCTGACTTGATTTAGTATAGTGTTGTGAATAATATGCCTCGGAAAAGGGCTGGAGTAGGATTCATCGTAACGGTGCCAACAGTGTCATACAGCATGACCAGGCTTTCCAGAGAGTTGACACACAAGAGATGGCTGCTCACGTGAACCCCTTCACGGCCATAGTCGGTCTCAGAGGTACAAACGGTTGACTTCTGTCGTCTGCCGGCATTTGGCCACCACGACCACGGAAGCCGCCACCCATGCACACCAGTCCCATGGCTGTGATAATTATTGCCACAACCTTAGCTAGAATCGGTTAATAATGCAGTGTGCACGTTCAACAAGGCAGTGGGATCATCAATCTAGAGCTTTGGTTCGATTTGAACATTTAAGTCCAAGGATAAGAGCCAAGAAGAAACCTGCTTGAAAGTCAACTCCCAAATATTTTTACAGGCCTTCTATTTCAAATATGAATATTCAGCAAGAAGAACCCTCAAAACACATAGAATAATATTGTGTTTAGGCATAATTTCATGAGTCAGTTTTAAAGAGGTAAAAATATCAAGAGTCGTGTCAAGATATTTCCACATAGACTCATTACCCTTGCGGAGGCTATGGAGACAATTTCTCAGTTGAAAAATATGTGTCATAATAGACAATTTTACTTTTTTTTGAGATGAGCCCATACGGCCATCGTTGTAGGATGCAGATGAATATGTGTCTAAATACCTAGAGACATAATAGCCAATAGGCAAGCGTGAATTTGGCCATCAACAAGCACCCAAGATTATATGCAGGGTTGGACATCATGATAGGAGGTTCATCCTTGGTAGGTGCAGGAGCTTTACCATCGAGAATAAGAGAGGGAGGTGGAGCCTCAGTTCCGTCGACATGTTCAAAAAGACAAGGAGCAACAAAGTTTGTAGATAATTACATTCTTCAAGTTTAACAGGAGTAAGAGATTGTAGATTCCGCACAAAGAGCTTGAGACAGGTCAGAAGACGATCCATCGGATCTATAGAGGGAAGGGCCATGGTGATTGGCCAAGAAGATGAACCCCTAGGGTGCCGATTTTTTTTCTTTCGGGGTTAGGAGAGCCGAACAATAAGAGGATCAAGCTCTGATACCATGTTGAATAATAGACTATGGATTTTACTCAAGTAAGAATAGAGAGTATACATGTGTGTGCATATAGGAAGAGATCCTGACATAATTTAGACTCAATCTATTATAGAACCTCACTATTATAAGAATGTTACCATAAAAAGAATTATAAATACCACTGCATAACGAAACTAATATTGTTGGTAACTAAAAGCATTATAATTCGAATATCTCATATTAATTTCCACCATTATATTCTCATTTTGGAGGTGTAATATGCAATATCTTTAAAACACGGAACATTAAACTATTAAAGTGCTTGTCCAAAAATGTTATTACGATTCAAAATGCAATTACGGCCAAAGGTTAGGTATATGGTAAATTTTCACATTTCGTTCTCACAATTAGGCCGGGCACTAGGCCAAGATCGAACTAGAATCGGTTTGGACCCAGACCTCAACAATGAGTAAATTCTATAATTAGCCCTTAAGTCCGACAATGTAATCTGGTGTCACCTTGACGAAAATCATAACAAAAATATCATGGCTATGGGCTTGGATTCCGACCTTATTGACTAGAGATGCAGTGGGCGACGACTCAATTGACAAACGAGACATCAGCAACAACCTCTAGCATTGGCTATGAAAGATAATAAATATATAAAATCCACAATTTTATAGAACCAATTATAAAATTGATTCTTCAATAAAACTAGGTTCAATTGACCCTAAAGATCGGTGTCATCCTACAATATTCGCCCATTTAAATTAAACATCTTACTCTCCTATAAACTCCAACCTCCCCCCTCCCCCCATTCCACTCCTCAGCCTGTTTCATGCCCCCCTCCAAACTACCAGAATTGAACAACCTAATTTTTGTTGGCATCCTGGCCAAAAAAATTAACCAAAGTATCAATAAAACTTGAAGGCTTCAATTATGAAGTTATTGGGGGCGATTAGGGACGGGGGCGGGCTGATATTATAAATTTATAATGATAATGATAATAATAATAAAGATGATCAACAACGCCAATAAACACAGTAAAAATAATGATGATGATAGAAATGAATATTAAATCTTAAATAAACAAAAATTGTAATATACCCCGTATATAGGTTTTAAAATTATTTATTAGATTTATCTGATTGACAACTTTCAAAAATTGATTTCATGGAATTAATATATAATACAAATTTTTGGACTAAAAACATCACATTAAACAAATACACTAAAAGAGATGTAGTAATAACGATGGTGATGATAGTACAAATAAGAATAAGTTGAATTACGTGCGTAAATAAATTTTGAATCACCACTCCAAAGAAATGAAAGAAATTAAAAGAAAGTAAGAGTTAAAGAATTGGAAGGATTTAAAGAAAAAAACAAAAAAAGTCTAAAAGTAGTTGGAAAAAAGTTGGAATTGAAGAAACTTGAAATTGAAAATCGTTAGAAGTTTGTAACATGTTCAATAACTAGCACATGTTAAAATCTAAAAACACAGAGTCTAGCACTTTGTGTAACATGTTCAATAACTTCGTTGAGTAATTAGAAATAAAATTAATATCTTAATACCAAAATGATGATTATCAGACATTAGATCCTACCGAAATTTTCAAACTAGCAATTTATTTCTAGTTTAATATGTTAATTTATAAAACATCTCACGGTATTTTTTTACTAGCCAAAATACTAATGTTAATCAAAATGTCAAAATCACAACATAACGCAAAGTAAATTATTGTCTGCCAAACATGGCCTAAGAAGTTATGCAGGTGAAGCTTTTTAAATCTAGTGCATAGAACTATTAATGCAAACGAAGGGATGCCATTAAAACCTGCTTTGAAATAAATTCTATTCGATTACCGGTATATAAAAACATAGATTCCATGTACCCGGGAAAAAAACTAAAACACTACCAATGTCATGCCAAAGGAAAATCAAAATTGGCAGAAGCGATGCCAATCAATTTATGGCTCCTTCCCCACTTTTACCCACTCTATAAGGGAATGGAGGCATAATTTCTTAAAATGGCAGTGAAAGGAAGCATCTTTGCATGTCTCAAAGTTGGTCAGTAGACCATCTCTAAATATGTACTGTGAATTCTGGCACAGATCCAAGTGTGCATTTACAGCACTATCTGTACCATGACAACTGCATTCTGTGATCTTCATCACCTCACACCCTGAGTTTTCAGGTCGCAACCACAATCTGAGAGAGGAATGAAACTTGGCAGATACCGAGGCCACAAAATCATTAACATCGTCTACCTTACACTCTTTCTCCTCAAGTCCCAACTCACATTTAACTGCATCTCTTAGAAGGCGCTGAAGTTTCCCGAGACACTCATTGCAGCAACCTAAGTGGCACACAAGACCAGAAACTGTTGGAATGTTGGTAGCTTTAACATTAGCATGATCAAATGTCTCTCTATCTTCATCTTCACGACGAAGATCATTTTCAGTATCACACCCATCATCATCCTCTTGATCTTGAATATCAACATGTCCATTAGAATGTATTGCGGGTCCACAATCTCCACCTTTCTGGGAAACTGCATCCGTTGGATTGCTTATTTCAGAAGGGGTACAATTCTTCAACTGGGAAGCACCTTCATCTTGATCTCTACAATTAGCTTCGACATTCACAAGATTGTGTTTGACTATTTTCATATTCAAATTAAGGGCACTTGCTACATTTTTAACTGGTATAGAATGGTCTGTGTCCATTGGTTGAAAGCCGACCTCCGTCCTTGCCATATGATTACCTCCTACTACTGTCCTTGCTTCATGGAAGGTATTATCACCACCTTCCGAAGTAGTATTTCTTAAAGGGTTAGGTTCTTCGGAATTTCCTATGCAATTCAATGTTGAGTTTGCCTTTGGCCCTGAACATTCGGTATCCATCTCAAAACTGAAACAAAATTCATTATAGTTAGACTTGAATGAGAAATTAAAAAAGTGAGAGGAGAATAATTTCTTAACTGGAGTCATGGAGCCATACCTCTGCATCATGTACAGCCAGCTGCTAACCATGTCATCAAGATAAGCAACTTGAGACAACAGACGGCTGAAATGATATCTGTCCTTCCCGCCCTGAACTTTTTCATTAATTCTGGCAACTAAAAGCTCCAGAACTTTCCGAACATCAGAAGATACTACTCGAAGCGAAGTATATTTGCCTGTGTAAGCTGACAACCCAATAGCTATCAAGCCTCTTACAATACCAGAACTTGCTTTGCTTTTGACAGTGCTGGTAGAGAGAGCAACCTCATTCACCGAGTTACTAGGACGAATAATACATGAATTGAAGGGCCAACCTTTCCAAGCACCATTTATGTCAGCACACGGGCCATCCTTTAACTTGGATGTCGCCCAACAAAGTTCAGCAAAATGAGGGTATTGTAAAATTTGGTAGCCAAACGTGGTAATTGCTAACAACATGCTTGACATCCCTTTTCCAGTTTTAGTGTTAGGGGAAACAGCAGTTGTAATGTGATTTATAGAAACATTTTTGCTCTCGTGCTCAGTAGTTGTTTCCGGTTTGGAGTTGACACACGCCAACATAACATTCTCCTTGGTGTCAGCATTAGCATTACCATTTTGTGGGATGGTACGCATATGGTTTGCACGATAAAGCAACTGAACAAAGTGTTCAACTAAATCAATTGACAGTCTTGATGCAAATAGATTAACTATTAGATCAACATTGAAACTATCATCCAGCTCTATAGAAAATTGTGGTACAGAACCCCCCAATGGAGTTGAGAGACTCTGATCCAATTCCTGCCCTTTGAAGTACTGTCTTATTGTTAGAGGGAGGGCTTGAAAAGGCATATCTGTTGTAGCCTGTACAGATGAAAGACAGGGTGGTGTGAGTATCTATTGACAAGTTAAATCCAGATCCTAAGGGGTTTTTTGATATCATCTGAAGCTACATGGACCAATTATCTACTGATTAAATAATAAATACTCCCTCTGTCCATAATTTGTCTTCCTACTTTCCTTATTTGTTTGTCCATAAATTATCTTCACGTTTCCTTTTTTGGCAAATATTTTTTCCTTAAACCACATTACTACCCTCACCTTTACCCATTAATTACTATCGAGTGTCGATACCTACACTTCATTTAATTTTTTGCACTGACCCAAGGACAAATATGAAAAGTTAAAACATTTTTTACTTTTCCTTAATTTGCGTGCAAAGTCAAAGCGAGAAGATAATTTATGGACGGATGGAGTATGAGGAATATATATTTTTTCTAGTCAAATATGTGTTTTGGAGAAACTGAAAAGTGAAACAAACATACCAAAATACTCAAGGGCTTAGATACAAACAAGGTCTCAGCCTGTTCAACGAAGGAGTTCCAGATATCTGATGCCTCTCTCACCTCTTTCTTGGACTCCAGTACCATAGTAGTGGCAACAGGATAAGACTTCTCATTTTTAATTTCTTCAAGGGATCTCTCTTCATACAACTGATGCTTCCCTGACAGGGAAACACCCTGGGTTTCAAAAACCTTTGAACTGGCCTCCACAGCCCATAAATCTAATCTTGGCATAAAAATGATGCATCTTCCAGCGCATGCATGCCTCACTGCCATGGTATAATTCATTCCATTAATGAAGGAAAAAGAAGAATGAACCATCCTTATTTACATAACTCAATTACAGAATGCAAATTAAGTAGATCACGTAGTGATGAACTACGCCTTCTGGGTCACAACAAAGTTAATTCAAGTAAATAACAACTGTAGTGATCCCTATCATGATAGCTTTTAAATATAAATGCATTAGAGCAGAAGGCAATGAATAATGACTTCTAGCATCAAAGTAAAGAAAATCAAGTTTATATCACCACTAATGATATGTATCATGATGCTTTTAAAGATTAACAATTTTCTAAGGATAGACAAAATATTTCTTTTTAAAATGTAACTTCTGCAAATTATGAAACTGTTAAAGAGATTATAAAAATGTAATTTCTGCAAATTTCATGAATGTCAAGGCCCAAGGGTATATAAGAAGTAAGAGCAATGTGATGCAGTAGGAGACATACTCAATATTCCTGTCAACCCTTGCAAAATATCCCCATGGCCTTCCTGTGACATAGCAGCCATATCAATCTTTTGAATATCAGTATTACCAACAAAACAATGGACAAGACAAGAAGCAATGTGCCTTTGACCACATCTTGGATTCCCAGAAACTAAAATTCGAAATCCAGATTTCTTTCCCGACATAGTTTCCATCAAGTGAGCACGAGCACCAATATGGTGCAATTTGGAATATCCAAATGCAGAGTCATCATCATCAAAGATCTCCTCTAGAAGACAAGAAGTACTACTTCTAAAATCTCGAATAAGAATACCGGCACGTGAGAGTTCATCTTCAACTTTGTGGTAAATATCAGGCTCTTTAAGCAAATCTTTAATATAAAACCACCAATTACTGGTGAGAATTTTCTTTTTATCCAAGGCAGAGATGAATATGTCTTTTACCAGTGAAGCAGCTTTAAAAAGGCGGTGCGGTAAGCAGACGCGCTCGTCTAGATAAAGGGAAACAATCAATTTACAAAGCGGTTGGGAAAGACAAGGAAAAAGACAGGTATGAAGAGGTGATGAGACTACTTCATTTGCAGCCATCCTAGCTTCTCTTTGTGAACATGGAGGTGGTGCATGCACAAGAGAATCCAACCAATCCTGTTCCTCTACAGTAAAGCTGGGTAGGGTGGCATGTTTAGCATGAGGCCCTCTCTCTGCAGCTGCAGAGAGATATTGGTGCAAGGGGAAGCTCCTCTTCAAAGAAATAATGGCAGCTTGAGTACACAGGGCCTGAAGATCAGCACCAGCAAATCCCACTGTTTTCCTGGCAATCAACTTGAGTAAAGGCCCAGAAACAGGTTTAGGCCATTTTTTTGTGTGCAGAGAGAGAATTGCTTCTCTATCCTTCACTGATGGCAACGGAAAATAAATCTCCCTGTCGAATCGTCCAGGCCGCCTCAAAGCTGGATCAATAGCATCAGGACGGTTAGTGGCTCCAATAACAACTACAGACCCTCTAGATTTCAGTCCATCCATCAGGGCAAGCAAAGTGGACACCACTGAACTATGAGTTTGATCCTGCTGCTTAGTGCGGCAAGGAGCCAAGCCATCAATCTCATCAAAGAAAATGATAGAAGGTTGAGATTTTTCCGCAACCTGAAACAGAAGTCTTAGTTGTCTCTCGGCATCACCAACATATTTTCCCAAACAATCTGCTCCTTTATGAGCAAAATATGCTATGCGTTTATCACCTCTAGCACATGAACCAATTAGTGCACGTACTACTAATGTTTTACCTGTCCCAGGGTATCCATGTAAAAGAACACCCCTAGGAGGTGTGAGCCCAAGACTGCTGAAAAACTCAGGGTACAATAGTGGTATGGTGACCACCTCCTTCATGCACTGGATGACATCTTGAAGTCCAGCAACAGATTCCCAACCTTGAAATTCAACCCCACTATCAGAGTTAGAGCCGCCAATATATACCGGAGTAATTTTTGATAAATCCCGATGAAGCCTCTTTCTTTCACGTTTCAAAAATTCTTCATCCTCCCCATAATTCTCCATCCATTTTTCTTCTGCTTCAATATCCTTACGGCATGCATCATTCGATGTCTTTCTCAGCTCCAGCATCATCTTCTTAGCTTTCATTTTCCTTATATAGTGCAGATATCTACTACCATGTGGTTGGAAAAGATGTTTGTGATCCATACAAGCTATGAGAAACTTGCGATGATCAAATATGCAACCTGTGGCGCGTGCACATGACTGCCAAACAAAAACAGCCAAGCTTGTGAGAAACAACGCATGTAAGAAAAAATGTAGAACAAACAATGACTGAGTGGGGGTTGGGGAGGAGGTGAGAATGTGAGATAATGCATAAAACAGGTCTCACCAAGTGGTAGGTTTTTGGACATCTATCAACACGGCATCCAATTGTTGCACCTGTCCTAGCACAACGACTGCATTTCAAAACCCTTCCCCTGCTAAGTGCTGCCCTAACATTTTTCATGCATCCCAAACCAGCGAAATAGACCTGAAAATAAACACAATGATAATGAAAAACTGATGGACATGTACTTGTGCCTAAAAGAGAAAAAAGGTAATGATGAATGCATACGCAAAACAATTTAAAAGAAAAAAACCTGAAAAATGACTGTGTACAAGACAGGTAATAAGGTGGGTAGAGAGTAGCTTACTTCTAATTTTGTACTAACATTTCCATCATAATGCAAGACTTGGTATGATAAAATGTTGAGCCCTGATGATCCTTAAACACACCACATTGGCTTACAGCCTAGAATTATTTAAAATTTTGAATAATATAAAGACATGCATGGATGAATTAATTTTTTTAAAAAATAAACAATAATTAGCATAGCAATACCCAAAGAAAAGATGAGCCACTGCAGAGAGATCCTTCAACATTCAGGTTATGGCAAACTTGTTGGGTCAAACTTTGAACATTCAAAATAATAGTTAGTGCTCATATAAATTGTAAGGAAAAAAGATCATCACTCTCAAGAGGTTGCAGGTAAAGCAACTTAAAGAGTAATAGGCTAACCAAAAGGTCTAAAACACGGCAGTTTGCATTAGAACTAATCTAATACACTGATAGAAAACAACTCTAGAATTGTTCATCACAAAGAGCATGACCGCAGATACATAAAATACAAAATACAAGCAACATGGCTCAGCGAAGCATACCTCTGGACTCCATACAGCACATTGCTGATGAATCCAAACTCCAGCAATACCAAAACGGTCATTTACGGGGCCCAGTAGGCGTCCAAGCCAGGTAGGTTCATCACCGAATCCATCCCATTCATCATAATTAGGTTCCTCAGAAGCAGAAGACTCACTATGTGCTTCATTATCACTTTGAGCCACATATTGCACTAGTTTTCTGGGAGGTTTTCCATCAGTAGCTCCTCCACACAAGCCACAACGTCTTCCAACTTTAATCTTCAGCTTTCTTGAAGCATCAATCATCCTATGGTTTCCTGGAGGTCTATCACAGGACCTCTTGTCCTTTCTTTTGTAGAAGATAACACCATCTACTGCATCTTTTGTCTTTTCATCATATCCTACTTTCGGATGTTTACTTCTCACGTCACTAGCATTACAATTTTCATTTTCATCATGAGTGGCCAAGCCAATTTCTAGATCATTTCCTTTGTCTCCTGACTCAATGCCGACACGCCATTCTATGGGCATACCCTGATCCATGAGCTTTATATGATCTGACCCTGTGCATTGCTTAGCATGTGAACACATTTCTACTTCATCCTCAATATTGACAGTTGGTGAAGGTACACTTGCACCCTTTACTGCCTTATTCCTTTCACTGTCAAATGGAAAATTCTCTTTATTCACTTCTTCAAGTGCCTCGTCGCTGTTAATGATTTTTTCCTCTTCTTCAAGCGCATCATTTTTAAGTATCAGTGTATCGTCATCTTCACTCATTTGTCTCTCTTCTGCATTATTCAATTCATCACCCTCGAAACTACCGCTCAAATCAATGCCTTGTTTCTCAAAAGCACTTGATGCCTTAACTCTTCCAGGTCTCTTTGACTTAAATATAGTCAATTTTCCACATACCTTCCCTACTTGTCTGTCATTAAACAGTTCATTATCCTCAATTGATTTGCCTTTGAACTTTCCCGAGTTCTCACTAAGCTTCCTACTAAATGCTGGTGAAGTCACCCCTTTCCGTCTCAAAACAAAGCTTTCATTCCTGCGCCTGGATCTCAGTCTTGATTTCCAACCATCAGCATTGTGAACCAAATCCCTAGATAAAGAGCAGACTATCTCGAATTGCTTTCCATCCTCTTCTCTACTCTCACCACTCATCCCACCCCTTTTGCCCACTTTTGCTCGCTTCTTTGGAGGATGAGGAGACGAATCAAGTAGAACAGGAGCCTTTCGGACCCTAGTGCTCCGCCTGAGCTCAAGTTCATTTTCTTCAGCATTACTAGGATCAATAGGGTCCACCCTTCCAGCCACACTATGGTTCAGATTATATGCCTTCTCAGAAATAGATTCTATCCTCTTAAGTTTCTTCTTAACCCTAAAATCACCTAACTTGTTATCCTCTGTTTTCCTCAGGACAGATGAGGACCCCGAAAATGGCATGACAAACACCACCAACCAATCTATGTCCTACTCTGTTTTCCAGTAGCAATCTTAACAATCTATTGAAATCACAAAATGGGGGCTTCAAACCCTAACTTTTACTCCAAATTGGTTCATGAAACTAAAACAAATTGGAGAGAAAATGAGCGTCGAGGATTTCCATCGATCGACCGATCGATCAAATCGTCTTGGAAGGATAAGAAATGAACCTGTAAGCCATCAATTCCAGGCTGAGCCTTGGCCTTCGTTTCCCTTTTTCTAAGATTCCGCCAAGACGGGTTCAGGTTTCGCTCGGGAAATACCTTTCCGATCCTATTATCTCTCTCTTGAATGCTCTGATTCAGTCCTTGTCCGTGTGTTTATCTCAGTAGTTGTTGTGTAAAGAAGAAAAATCAAACAAGCAAGGCGGAGGGTAAGGAGAAAGGGTTTCATACAGCGAATGGACCGGGTTTGGAACTCCACGCGCAGAGTGATAGCGTGAGCTGCACGGAGAGAGCTAGTGTGTCTTTTTTCTTCGTGGTTATCTCTGATATTGGTCTTGAATCGTTCGGTGCACGCGACGGAGGGCGCGCAGTCCTCAGAATAGAGCGGGTTGAGCGGAAATACTCCGCATTTTGTAGATTCTTTCCTCTTAATCTTACCGCCAAATAGGTAGGATTGAGGTTCCTATACAAATTCAATTTAGTCGTAGGAGTAACAAAAATAGCGATTCTTCCCAAATAAATCGACATATAGTACCCAATTGAAAAATAGGTTTTGGACTAGGTTTAATACCGGATAAATTAGAGTAAGAGGCTGTTTGTTTCAGCCTCTTAATGGTTCAGATGTCTGAATGGTTCAGCACTTAATGGTTCAGACTGTTTGTTTCAGCCTCTTAATGGTTCAGATGTCTGAATGGTTAAGAGATTTGCCTCTGAATGGTTAAGTATTATACAGAGTCTGAATGGTTAAGACCTCTTATCTGAATTGATCAGACATTTGCCTCTGAATAGTTAAGCAATATACTAGCTCTTAATGGTTCAGACCTCTTACTGGTTCAGCACTTAATGGTTCAGACCTCTTACTGGTTCAGCACTTACCTATTCAGAAGTTGCCAAACAGCCCCTAAATGGCCTATATATGTAAAAAAAAATAATTCCCTTCCTGGCAGAGTAAGTCAGGAAATTATTTCCTCCCAGTGCCATCCGGAGTTCCCTACTCCGTTCCAATTCTTTTTTTTAATTAAATGTATAGACGGAGTTAGTTAGTCCGTCCCAATTAAAAACAAAGCTTACGGAGTAAAGTAATCTGTTTGCTCTCTTAGTTCTTTAGTGCTCTTTATGTTTTTTAGTTTTTAAAAAATTGAATTTTTTTACTTTCTTTTTTCACTTTAACTTTTTCAACGCATTTATTTTAAATTAAAAAAATATACTCTAAATTATACTCCCACCGTCCCAAAAAGATCTACCCATTTCATTTTTTGCGCATATCATAAAATATTTTTATCTCGTCTCAAATGCCAAAAAAATTTAAAACAACTTCTACCCGCAATAAAGTGTAAATGTGATAAATTTTAGAAATTTTAGATATGCATAAAAGTGTTTTATGGGATGTGCAAAAAATGCAACGGGTAGATCTTTTTTGGACGGATGGAGTAATATACTACAAGGTACATTTTACTCTCTCTGTTCAAAAGAGATTTTCCTATTATACGCATTATGAAATTTGGCGGACTTTATTTTCGATTTAATTTATTTGATTGTTAAGTATAGAATTGAAAATTAAAATTTATATAGTAAAAACTTAGATAAAGAATTTTACAAAACACGAGGTGACGTGACTATCTTATTTTATGAAATGATGAGTTAAAGGGTGGTCAAGTTATTTTTCAAATAAACCGCTCATTTATTTTTCAGTTTCAATTAGTTTTTTAAAAGTTTTTTAAACCATTTTTAATTTCTTATTCTTAGTTTCAATTACTTTTTTAGTTTTTTTAGTTTTAATTATTTTAGCAACAGAGTTAACGCAACTGATTATGTCATTGCAAAAGTTGAATAACCACTTGCGAATAGTCAGTCCTACATCAACGCTTACTATGGCATCATAATGCCGCTTCCAGATGAGTCTGAATAGCCTACTCTAGAGTACAAGATACTGAGGCCAATGCCAATAATAATAATAATAATAATAATAATAATAATCACATTAAAAATATATCATTTTTAGAGTAATTGGTAGAGGAGTAGAAAGAATTTGAAGAAAATGAGAAAAGTTTGAAGAAACTGGAAGAACTGGAAGGAACTGGAAGAAACTAGAAGGAACTACAAGAAACTGGAAGGAACTGGAAGAAACTGGAAGGAAGTGGAGGAAACTGGAATTTAGTCTCTGTAACGCCCCAAAACATAACCTAAAATTATTAACGAACAATTACGGTGGGGTTCTAGTGACACCGGAGTACGGTGACGGGTGGTGACACTAGCAGTGCCACTGTGTTTTTGGAGCACCANGTTATGATATGAATTTTGAAATGATTTATCGAAATAAATCATGAGTTGAATAAAATATGTTGATAAGACTGAATAATATCAAAATTGTATAAAGTTCACTTAAAGTTAATAAATAGTAGTTTTAGTTTTAAATTTAATTATAGTATGGAGTATATTTTATTTAATGATAAAGAAAATTATCAAAAATATATTTTATGAACAAAAATATTTTAATGATAAAGAAATTTTTTTAAGTTTTATAATTTATTTACAAGTCACTAAAACTATTTAAACAAAAAAAATTTAAAGCAAATGTCATGGCCCATGGGAACAAAAAAGGGAAGGTGAGGAAATAATAAAGAAAATTTATCAAAACAAAAACAAAGTAAATAGTCATACGGAGTTCCCTACTCCGTTATGTAATTAATTCAAAGAAACAGATCAGGCTACTCCGTTTCAATAAATAATAAAAGATGAAACGGAGTAGCCTACTCCGGTTGGTTTTATTTGGGAAAGTACAAAATAAAAGAGCATATAAAGGAATGAGTTGCACCCTATTTACACATATTGGGAAATCACCCGATAAATTACATCTCGAATCGTCTCGTTCTACAATGGTTCGAGATTGATTCTTAATAAATGAGAACCAAAAATCTCGAATTAGAATGTCGTTATTTAAATTTTAAAATAATAAATTAATAGTACTTCTAATTTTTTTTATTTTTTAATATTTTAATCCTTGTGTTTTTGCACGTTTATTTACTTCATCATGATTTTTTAACTTACTCCCTCCATTTGAATCTTCATCCCCCCTTCTTTTCATGCGGATTTAATCTTCTTATTTTTTATATACATGTATATTTGGATAAAACTACATTCCTCTTTATTAAAATTCTCTAACAACCCACTTATCTCACCTTTCTTTAATAAGGGTATTTTGAACAAATCCGTCACATAGCCAACTTTCCTTTAAATGAGGTAAAATCAATGCGGAAAGATTAAATCCCAAACGAGAGAGTATTTTAAAATTATGATTTGTCAAAAATTACTACTACACAATATTAAAATAAATTGATGCATCAAACATTTTTACTTTCATTTTTAGTTTTTTGGTAATAGAACTTTTTGTTAACTCTTAAAGTACTACGAGACATGGTACCGTAAAGAGATATGGTACCAATTAGTTAATTATGATTGGAAAACCAAATCGTGCCAAACCATTTAAGTAGTAATGCATGTAATGTACGAGTGTTACGAAAAATTCTAAACTGCCACATACTGCGTCTAGCCCTACTCTGTTCCAAAATTTTCCCTTTCCCATGTTTTTTTATAGTTTGGAATTTTTAAAATATCTTTTCTTATTTTTTATTGGACAAATTATCTTAAAATGCTTCGTAAATGTTTTACATATGCTCTTATGAAATTAATTTCTCATCCACTCAAATTTACTCACAACTTAATTTACTCTGGTTTCCAGTTTCAATTCACTTTGCTTGGAAAACAATAATTCATGATTAATTTTCTTATCATGTAGATTCAGCTAAATGTACTACTCATCCAATGGGTAATTGTTCACCTATGAATTTTTAGATATTAAATTTTATCCAAAATTCTTAGATTGTTGGCTAAAGGGCTTCTTAGAGAAGTTTTTGGGTTCCTAGATTGTTTGAACTGAGAAATTTTTATGGGATCCTAGATTATTTGAACTGGGAAACAGTGTTGGATTTCATTATTGATACACAAAGGAAGAGGAGAAAAATTAAAGAAGATGAATGAATTGACTTCTCTAATTATGTCTGTCAGCTCAAGATTACAACGTATATAAAGAAAAAGAAAGAAGCTAACTAATAATCATTAACAAATGCAACAAAGTATAGCTACTCTAACTAATTACTTTTATTCTAACTTATTAGTTTGACTGATAAACATGATTAAGAAACTTCAACACCCCCTCTCAGGTTAGAGGGTGCTTGATCCCCCAGCTTGCCAAGAATGTTCTAATGTAAGGGGCTTGGAGACTCCTAGTGAATACATTCGCCATTTCTTGATGTGTAGGAACATGATAAGGATAAGAAAGATGAGGCATTCTTGTAATTTTTCTCTTACAAAAGAGCAATTCAGTTATATGTGTTTAGTGTGCTCATGATATACTAGATTAGTAGCAATATATATGGCACCCTTGCTCTGAAGGAATGAGTCTAAATACCCAATTCAAGCTAACTTAGTTGTAACTCCAAAATAACTATGATTTTTATATTAATTCTCATAAAAATAAATTTGTAGTGAAGAATATTTTTGTCATCCTTATAATATTTCCTAAGATGACTCAAATAAATTAAAAGTTTTTGAAAATCTTCTTCTTTACTTTGGTTAGGCAATCCGTTAGGCGTTTTGTTTTCATTAAATCCTATGCTCCTTCTTGAATATTTCAATTGATTTGGTACTTCATGTCTTTGTGTTTTTCAATGTGGTACTTTATTCTTGACTTGAATAACTTGTGTTTGCCAATTAGCAAAATCTGTGAGTCAATACTTAACAGTACAAAAAGGATTGAACTCATGAATTCCAACACACATATAAATGATGAATAGGCCATTCATGAGGAGAGATAGCAAGACTGAGAAAAACACAAATGGTGGCTGGCTTGACCACATGGCTGAAAGTCTCATCATAATCCACACCGTAGCATTGGTTGAGTCCTTGGAGAACGCACTTAACTTTGTACCTGGACAAATCACCCGAAAGGCCAAAATTGTATTGAAAACACCATTTACCAGAAGTAACTTTTTGGTTAGATGAGGGGTACTAAATCCCATGTTTTATTTTTAATCAGGAAATTATACTTATCGCACATAGCAGCATACAAATCAAGATCTTTTAGCACACTATGAGAAGTGGGGGAGTGGAGATATGGAAGGCATGACACAACTGACTAGACTGAGATGGCTAACTCGGTGGTGCAAGGTGTAGATTTGTCAAGAAAGGTGTTGGAGACACCAGGTTCCACATTTTAATTTAATTTTCAAGAATATTAATTTTAATTGAAATTAGAGTTTAAAATATTAATTTTAATTGGAAAGTATTAATTTCAAGTAATTTTTTTACCTTTGAGGTCAATTCACAATATTTTACCTCTTATTTTTTTTAACTGAAAAATATTACTCCGTAATTTTAATTGAAAAATGTTTTAATTGAAATATATTTTTTCCGAACTTGACATTATAGATCAAAATTATTACTTGTATTTTAGTCTAAATCCTTCAAATTCTTCGGTATGGGTATCTCCCAATTGGGTCTGCTTCCCAAAGTCCGAACACTTTTTGCCTTTTCTGGTGTTCGTAAAATAGGAATGAGCGACAAAATAGTGATGTACTCCGCAGATATTTGTAGTAGAGAAATAATTATGAGTCCCTATTTTGTTTTTCATTTCTAAGAGCCCTAAAAATTGGGCAAATCATTGACTAGGAATACATTTTAGAATGGTAAATTTATATTGTAAGAAGTATATTTTATACATTGCACTGAGAGAGTGAAGGCAATATATACTGAGTTAGACATAGCAAGAACTCACATTCATAAATAATCCCCAGTAGTATTACACTGTAGTGTTTTTCAATTTCTACAACAATTACTTCAAGTTCCAAGTGTATTGAGTACACAACATGGCGATGAATTACCTATGGTTTTACATATTCATATGTATTATGGATTATTATTAGTAGTATAACAAAACTATAGTATGTTCAATTAAGAGTGCGCACTTTCTTCATATGAATGCCTTTGACAGAAAGACTTTATCCTTTTCAGTGCTTCTTCAAGGGAAGATGGTTCTGCAGCAAAAGTTAGTCGAACCCAGTTCTTGAGACCCACAGCCACTCCTGCAAAATTATTCATTATCTTGGCTTGGCTTCTCAAAGTTTATGTTTATAATCCCAATGAGCCTGAATTCTAACACTTTTAATGTATCCTTAACCCTATGTTTGGTTCAAAAAAATTGGATGGAAAAGAAAAGAAAAATGATTATATCTCATTTTTCTGACCAAAATAGAAGTTTTGTTCTCCTTCCTCTTAATACATTTTTCCATTTCACTTTTTTTCTTTCTGCTTTTCTTTTTCCTTTAAAATTTCTAGGTGTAATATTTTTGCCCAAATAGAAAATCAAGTGTCTTTCAAAACATGGACATATAAACACTACAAAGAAAAGTGAGGCTTAGCTTATTGAACCTGAAAATAAATTTGCCCAAATAAGAAGCATAATAACATGAAAAGTTCTCCAATTTTAAAAACATTACCTGGAAGAATGATGACAGATTCCTCTTTGGCCAATTTAAAGCAGAAGTCAATATCATCACTTATGTCTCTTAGCGAGGACAAATTAAGCTTTGCCTACATTCAAAAATATTTACTTATTCCACAAAACACAATGTGATGCCCTCGATCAATTATATTTTTATATTATCATAAAGAATTTATTATTATGATTATGATTATTATCATCATCATCTTCATCATCATCACGGTTCTTTTCACCATAGAAAAAAGGACCTGAAATTGTTCCGGGCACTTAGTGTGTAGCCCGTTAATGAAAGTGATGGTTCTTATTCCTTAACCTTCCTAATCATGAGCTGAAGCGTGCGTGAGTATTTCTCTAATTTTATTCTCACCGTTCTTCCTCCATGGATAGATCACGAGCCCAAAACGAGAAGAATACGCGGCACTCAAACAAATCATAAAACAAATATCCATAGTAAAACCGATTTTAGGGAGGGATTCGCGTGCTCACCATCATAGCCATTGACCCCTCTGGTTTATATGTGCATCTAAGACTTGGAATCTCCTTCATCTTTTGAAAGCACATGTCCGATGTCCACTTTAACAAGTTATTGGTCTTCTTAAAGAAAACTTCTTCAGTTTGCTGAATAATTCGGGGAACCGCTGCCTAAATATGGAAATATGAAGAAAAAAGACAACAATTTTTTTACTTGTGAGGTGGCTCCAAAATCTTAGAAACATGTACGGTTCCTTTTTAACAAAGAAGCATATATTCAAGCCCAAAAGACTAAGGTCTTGTTTGGATGTTGGCTGTCAGCTGTTGGCAGTTGGCAGTCCATGCCAGCTGTTGTGAATGGTTGTTTAGTTTAGCGGTTTGACTGGCAGAATGAATTGGCTGATCGTTAAAAATGTTTGGTAAAACTAATTGTTTGAAAATAATTTTTCCTATATATATATATACACACACACACACACACACACACACACACACACACACACACACATGTAAAAATTAAGTCTTTACTATATGGAGTATTAAATTTTAATTTCATTTAATTCATAATAAATTATTAATATTAATTTTTTTAATGATTTTTACTTTTTATTTTCTCATTTCATTTTTTGAAATTTTTAAATTTTAATTTTTTTTTAGTATTTAATTTTTTAAACTTTTATTTTTATTTTTTACATATATTATAAAATATCTTTCAACAAAAATGATTTTAAAAAAATTATTTTTCTTAACCGCCAAGTCCAAATGCTACTCCCCTTGGCATTTTAGATTTTGGCTTTTCGGATCAAAATGCCAAGTGAAAAAGTCATTAGCCAAATAATGGTTTTGGCGGTTCGCTTGGTTAAAAAAGCCAAAGTCAGTCAAAGATGCCAAAAGTTATCCGAAATGCTGTTTTCCAAACACGACCTGATCGATCGATTTGCCAGCTCTAGTTTTATTTCTACTTAGGTCGGGTTCGGGTTGGGTCACTTCGAGTGCGGGTTATTTCGGATTCGGGTCAATTCAAGAACGGGTTGAGAACTGTATGTTCATGACCCAGTGTTATTGGGTTCGGGTTGACCCAACGGGTTATGACTTTGGTTTTTAAATTTTTAAATTCACATTAACACTTACATTTTCTATTTAATAAATTTAAAATATAAAAAAATGTATTAAATCTATTAGATTATTTTATTTTAAATTCTGAATTAATTTTTAGATATATAAATCAATATAAGGAATTTAAAAAATGCTTAAATTTTGGAAAAAAGTAAGATAATTATGCAATATCATTAAAAGTTTGTCTGAAAATATAAATTTATATACTAAAAACGAGTAGTAAAATGTATGATTTTGAAAAATTCTTATCTAGCGGGTCAGTCAAGTCGGGTTCGGTAGGGTTTGACCCATTTTTAGCGGATCATTTCGGTTTCGGTCATCAAAACCTTTGTTCAAAAACCCAGTGTTTTCCGGTCGAGTTTCGGGTCAAAAACAAGTCGGGTCATTTTTTGCTGGGTCTAAGTAAAACATTAAAAATATATCAAAATAAAAGTTTTATATTTTTATTCTGGAAATAGAAATTAAAATATATTTACAATGTCAATCATTAGCATGTATATTATCAAAAAGTATTGTAAAATATTCATAAACAGTGTCACATTATCACGTTACAAACTTCTATTTGAAAATAAAAACATAGAATTCTTATTTTGAAAATGATTTCTTAATATATACGGAGTATATATATATATATACATATATAGAAGGGGGTAATTGCGGCAGACCTGTATAAAGGTGGCTGGACCACCACAAATGTCACAGTACTTCTTAATGCGCCCAACAAACTGTTAATTATAATACACAAAGAGAAGGCAATATCATGAGGTCCACCCAAAAAAATCTAATTTTACAGATCTATTATATGTATCTGACTAGTTTTCTTTCAATTGATCGTTTCCAACCATTGATTTATAATTAAATAAAATATATATTGTATACTAATTAGATATAATAATATTTTGAAAATATTTTTTAAAACAAATCTAATAAAATTATTTTTTTATCAATTTCTAATATCATTTTTATTTAATTTATGGTTAAAATTTACCATTATAACTGAAAAAAAATCAAAAATAGAAAAATACTTCACGAGGGAGGGACCGAGGGAGAGAATGTCTAGAGCCGTGTTGTGTGTGAACTGTGAAGTGTGAACCCGTGGAGAGAATTTGTACTAAAAGTGCAAAACTGAATAAAAAAATTTGTATGGTACTATTTTTTGTGTATTTTTCTCGTGCTAGCAAATATTGAAGCTAATACACATTGTAGTGGTAGAAAATAACTAATTAACACAATTAAATGGTATTATTACTAGTATTTCTATATGCACATCGGGTACATATCATTTTTGTGAACTTTCCCTCATAAAAAATATCTTTTTTAAAATTTTTTATTAAAGAAAATAGATGCTTTCTTAAGTTTATCCTTATGCTAACTTTACATGTCATTTTTCTCTTTTTACACTTTAGGAGCAAATGTGTACATTTGTAACAAATATGGTGGATATAGCCAAAAGTAGGATGGATTTAGCAACACCCTATTATTAATTATTACTCCCTCCCTCCTTTGATGTTCATCCCATTTCAAAAAATGAGACAAAATATTAAGTTTTTATAATTCATTTTATTTAAATATTGGTATAGAAATAATAGTAAAATTTACATGAAAAATTTTTCGAAATAAGAGGTGTCAAAAACATTTTATTTTATCAAAAAATTAATGATACAAACATACAAATAAACAAAAGCTTCTGTGATTGTTGAAAAAAGAAATGTGGCAAACATTTTGAGACGGACGAAGTAGTATATGAAAAAAAATTTATTTCTTCCGTCTCACAAAACCTTTCTATTTTCTTTTTTCATCATCTCAAAAAAATTTTCTCATTTCTATTAAAAAGTCATTTTTAGCCCTATTAATTCTTAACTTATCTATCACATCACACTTTTTTACTACTAATCTATCCATCACATCTACTTTTAACTATTATATCCAAGGACATTTAGGGAAAGTCAATGTCAAAATACACTCTTTTTAAAACCCTTAAAATTTAAAATAAGAAATGTTTTGTGGGATGGGAGAAATAAAATTTTGTTGCAATGTACTCCCTCCGTCCGGAAATGTTCTTCTCATTTAACTTTTAACGGTTTCCAATATTACACTTTGACCATTAATATCTATATTTATACATAGATATATTTTATAAAAAATTGATATTTGAAAATTACGTTTCATTATGAAAATATTGATATTAAATTTACATCATAATACAATGTGTTTTTTCCACAAATCGTAGTCAAAGTTTATAAACTTTGACCAAGAAAAGTCAAATGTGAAGAATATTTCCGGACGGAGGGAGTACCTAATACTATTTTTAAAAAAAAAAATTAGTAGTGTTAGTTGACCCCACTGGGCCCCCTCGGTGCGCCCTTGCTTGCACCTAGCAGCATCTACGGTGCACATTGTTGCATTGCACAAGCTCTTGAATAATTTTATTAGGAGAGAGAGAGAGAGAGAGGGACCTTGGGGGTGTTAATGGTAGCATTAGGATCATTTATGACCAGCCAACCAAGGCGCCATCCAGGCACCAACCATCTCTTTGACAAGGATCCAAGAGTAATCACAGGGGCTATTGATCCAAATACTCCCATTGGCACAAAAGGATTATCCCCAAATGCTAGGTGACCGTACACCTCGTCCGCGATCACAATCACCTTCAGCTTCTTTGCAGTTTCCGCAATCTGTTTACAGCCACGAAATCAAATTAAATAGAACACATTTATCTAATTATCACATGCTTTAATTTATATAAATTAAAAAAACAGAGTAGATATATAATTAATTAATAAGGTTGAAGGCCGGGAACCGGCCTCTTGTAGATGTTGATAACTGTAGACATTCCCGCACGGATTCCCGGGGTTTATGACCGCCATTGCAACTGTGTTCTTATCAGCTAGCGATTCTACGGCGTTCAGATCGACCGCCCATCCTTTTTCCGGCAGAAGATCGAAATATCTAACTTCAACGTGTCTAAAAGCAGCAGAGAGCGCATAAATTGGGAACCCCGGGCGCGGGAGCAAAATGTTAGCTCCCGGGAAAGCCAGTACCGACAGAGCCGTGTCAATGGCCTGAGTGCAGCCGGCCGTCACATAAACGTCATCGGCCGACACCCTTTCCGGCAGGTCTCCGGACAAGTAATCTGCTATCGCCCTGTTTTTAATTACAAGTGCCGCCAGGTACTATTACTAATTAAGATCCAGAAATGATGAATATATATATATTATAGTTGTTCACTGTACGTACTTTCGGGTTTGAGGAAGGCCGACGGTGGGAGAGTAGCCGTTGAACTTGTAGGAACAGAGGGTCTCTGCAACAGCTTGATGGGCAAGAGGCGGGGAGGTGAAGCAAGAATAAACTGTGGGGTCACCCATCCCCAATGATATTACCTTTTTTCCATCATCACTTTTCACTGTCTCTAATAACAGCCCAATAATGCCTTTGATTGTAATGTTAGTTGGGGTTTCAATCTCTGGGTTCTGCTTATCCTCCATTGTTTCCGGCGGCAACAACCAGAGAGAAAGAGAGAGAGATAGAACAACCTACGGTCAGCACACGGCAGTAAAGAGGAAGGGGAAGTGCTGCGTGGCTGTGTTGAAGGACACACGTTGAGATCTATCCTCCAGATCCTGCTCCAGCCGAACGAAGGTATCAAGCCAAAATAGAGTTTTGTTTTATTAGTCTGACTTTGCATGGCCCAGTTTTATAAGGAGAAAAAATAAACTACGGAACTTAGAAACCTATTACACTATTACTCCTTCATAGATTTATTATTATTATTCCTCTGTGCCAAAAATGAATCAAACTTTGACATTGATATATATCTAAAATTACACCAAATACTAAAAATTGAAAAAAAAAACACTACCAAAATATGGCTAAAAAAATACTCTATCATACATGATGCCAAAAAAGGATTTTCAATATTTTTATGCTAAAATATGACTTATAATGCCAAGTATGTCAACATATAATACCAAAAAATACTATAAAATGCCAACAAACAATGTCTATGTCCTGGTATGCATTTAATTTTTAGTCCAACTTCTTTTCTAGACAAACTGATTTTTTATATAAAAACAAGAGTACAATAAAGAAGAGGATCAAACCAAATCCCATTGAGAGGTGCATGATAGCAATGGAAAGTATAGCAGTATAAACGAAACCAAAAAACACTCATCCAAATCAACACTTTGCATTTTTATTTACTGAAAGAAAAAAATTGTGGTGGAGAGATGCCTGGGTACACTTCGGTGAATGGCTCCTTGGTGTGCTATCCAGAATGGAACCCGTTGCAACAGCTACATTCTGGCATAATTCAGCAAAGTTTGGGACAAAACTTTTTTGGGCAACAACAGAGTTTGGCAAGCCTTCCAACAGACTAAAAGGCCCATTTGGTTATTTTGGTACAATTACAACTGCACCTACCTGGAATATTGGAAGACTCAGTTGATCTAGAGCATTAGCAGGGGTAATATTGGAAGACCCAAGAGATGCATTAGCCAGAAGATTACCATTTTGGGTTAATATTGGAATAATTTTTCAGAATCAGCAAAGAGGAAATCAATCTTTTCCTTTATTTTACCACCTTTACAGAAAGCCGGTCATTAACATTCGTAGTCTTTGGAACAGAAACAGTTTTCGCATGGGCAGTCTCACTTGCCTCAGCTTGTGGGACAGAACTTGAATTAGGCAAAAAAAAAAAAGCAACTTGAGAGGCGTCAATAGAATTTGGTAGTGCAATTACCTTAGGGGAAGAATCTTTTCAGCCTCATTTGAGAGGAGTCAGCAATTAAAGTTTCTTCATCTCCAGGGACTGAATCAGGGCACTGGGCAGATCATTTTCCTTTTCAGCAATAGATGAAACAACATTATCTGTATGTATATTAGAAACAGGTGTAACATTCAAACTCACAGTAGGTACATGAGCTTCTGTGACCATATTTTCTGCAAAAATCCGGAAGGTCATCATAGTACATGGGCTGGAGAAGAGAGAATTGACCTAGATGGGATCCAAACGGCGAGCGTGGGAGCTCCTTGGTTACATCCAGTTCAACACAAACACGGAGCGACCTAAGGTTTTGTCAAATTAATGGTGGCAGCATCCGCCTTCAGCAGTTGTTCCAAACAAGTGAACTGGTAAACCCTCCCAAACTGGAAGGAAAGGAGATTGATTCCACCGTAGGGTGGGGTCCAACGGAACACATTAACGCCGACCTAGGGTTTCGACCCTGTACTCAGCCATGGACGACCGCTAGAGATGCATTGGGAAGTCCAAATAGGACCGCTCAGTTTATCCCCAAATCCTCCATCGGACAACGCACACTTCAAATTGCAAGGCGCCTGAAAAATCACATAGGCAGGGGAACAGGAAACATGAAACAATCATGGCTGAAAGAATGAATCATATCGCATGAAAAAATCTTTGTGCATCAAATTGTTAAAAGTACGCTCAAAAGTTTTTTCCCAAAATCTTTTGTAAATAATTGATTGATCTAAAATTTCATTTCTTTTTGTACTCTGCTACTTGAGGGCAAGAAACGATAAAGTGTTGGGAATTTGATAAGTATGTTTTATACGTACTTATTTGCTCCATATTTAATGTGCTATTGTCCAAATTTGGATTAAGCAAGACAAATTCTCATTTGCTTTTTAAGTTTTTGTTCATAATTTTAGAATGCACAAAAGTCATGTCTCTGTCTTAAAAAGAATTAAAGTTGGGTCAAAACTGTTTAAAAGTATTGAAAAGTTAGAAATTGCAAAAAGGAATGGATTGGATCAAGTTTGGGCCTTAAGAAATGAAGAAATTGAGGAAAATGAGATTTTGGGCCAAAATCCAACCCAAAATGTCGACCCATCAACGCAGCCCATCATAGTCGAGCGCCCTGTCACAGAGAGGCTTGGAATGACGCTCGGTCCAAAACCCAGAAACCACCAACAAAAAAACTGTGGTCTAGAAACCGTGTCCCCAAAACAAGATAATCCAAGCGCCCAGTCAAGCTGAAGCTTAGAATGGTGCCTGGATCAAAATATTCCTATTTAAGGAGGGCTCGCCCCTCATTTGTCATCAACCTCTCTCCAAGTCCTCTAAGGCATTCTAGGCCCCCTTCTCAATTATATTTTAATATTGAGTAAATTCCATAATTGGTCCTTTATAACAGGGGGGTTTCCCTATTTAGTCCTCTATTATAAAATATTACCCCATTGGTCCTTCTTTTATGGGTATCTTTCCATAAATAGTCTTTTTTGATCTTCTATCATGTTGGTGGTTAATTTGAGGGCTAAAAATGTAATTTCGCAATGATAATATATCTTTTTTGTCATACACAATTCCAAAGGCTGTTTTGTTTCCGTCGTTTGTGAATTACAGTTGCTTTCTACTACAACCATAGTCTACAAATGTAGTCTTTCGTCGGAATCCTAGCCCACAATCATAGTCATTATTTTTGTGTTATCCGCTAAACCAATATCAGAACACGTCACTAGACATAAATGTTGATGTCAAATTATACTTTTAGCCTTTAAATTAATTTCAACATGGAGGAAGATAAAAAAAGGACCATTTGTGGAAAGGCACCCTTAAAAAATGACTACGAGGGTAATATTTGATAATAGAGGACTAAATATGGAAACCCCCTGTTATAAAGAACCAATTATGGAATTTACTCTGTAATATTTTAGTATAGTATTGTTCCTGTTCTCCCGAAGTGGCTCTGACTTTGCTCCAGTCATAAGTTTTAATATCTATAACTTTTAATAAAATATTTTCTTTTTCATGCACTGTTAATATTTAGTACGAGTTACGGTCCAGATTAGGGTCTGCGCTAAATTTAGGCATATACTCTGTATGTTTATTTAATAGTTGGAATTGAATTCATCAATTTCAATTCCATAGAATTGGAATATAGGACCATATATTTTTATTTCCCAATTGATCATTATTCATTACTCATTATTCAAGTAAATGTCCACCATCACTGGACATTATTCCTCCGACTAGATATTATTAAGTCCTATTTAAAAAATAAAAAATTAAGTTTAAGTTCTACATTGGGAAAATGACTTATGTTTATGTCATATTTAGTGCAAATTTTTCTTTATTTTATTCTAAATGCAATCTTGATATGTCTTGAATGACTCTAATGCACTAAGGTTGTTGTTGGTATGAATCTGAATAAGTATATTGTGATGTTGTTGATAAATGATTTAGGCTACTTAGAGGAAACTCTAGGACTCACCTGAGTGAATTCACAACATGTGTTGTTAAAATAGGTTGTAAGTCTTAAGGGTCCACTACCCAATGCCTTTGGGTCAAAACGTACGTACAGAATCCAAGAACTTTCATTCCGAAGGGGACAGGGTACCACTCACCCAACGAGAAACTCCTTCGTTGCTAAGGTCGTGTTGTATGGTGTTGTGTATATGTCTGTTACTAAATAGCCTTAGCCTAGAATAGGTTATGAGCAACTGTTAGAGATAAACTTGTATAGATACATAAGTGTGTTGTTGATAACTAAAGTAGTCAATTACTCAAAGTAAATGACTCAATATGTGTATTGACATGACATTACTGTTATTACTTGATGATGTTACGTGACTTCATCTGTGCAAGAAATCTTATGAGTGATTATGTATTTTGAATTAATCTTATGTGTGACTTCTACTATCAGAATGTCTCACTTAGCGTGAAAGTTGAGTGTGTAGTTATTGTTTTATTTGTTACACGTAGGTAACATTAATGGTGGATAAGGAAATCATACTGGAGGGTAGTGAGAATGAGGAGATGGATAGATGCGAGCTGAGACTGAATTTTGTACTTAAGCTTCCGCACTCTTTAATATTACTCCGTTAGATATTTAAATAATGTTTTTGAAAACATTTTAAATTGTTTTGAAAATATGATGTGTTTGGATGCCAATCTAGTGACAATCCGGTCCACTAGTCCATTAATTCGGGTTACGTGAGTTGGGAACTTTCGAATGTTCTAAAACTAAATTTAAATAATTCTTCCGGACCTAAAAGATTGATACTTGATACAAAATGAAGTAAAATCCTCAATTTTTCAATTATTTTGATTTGAAGTTCAGTATAGAAAAAAATAAATCTTTCATATTCAAAAACGACATCAAAAGTTCTACAAAAATAATAGATGACAAAAATATTTTGATTTATCAAATAATTAATAAAAACACACAACAAATTCAAGTTTCCATAATTTTTGAATAATGAATTGTGCTAATTTTTTTAAGGATAGAGAGAGTACTTTTTTAACACTAATGAGTCACTTATTACAAGTGATGTCTGTATCACATTTGAATTGTTTTTGTGATATTATGTCTTTAATTTCTAATAGTAGTTTAATAGCATTAATACGTTATAAGTTTATTTTATTTTATTTTTAAAGCGTTATGCACAAATATGAATAATATACAAAGTGTATAATCTTTGAAGGACTGACTTATCTTTTGGATTAGTCATAGTCTTTAGACTAATTTTTTATCAATCTCGGACCAGTTCAAGTCCTCTCTATGTCCTCTAATAGTCCCTGACGAGTCCAAGTCAAACTAATGAGCAAGGAGTGTACTCCAAGTGTACACCAAAAGTATGGCCAGTAGCGCTGGTACCCCTCGTGGTTTGCAAAACAGGCACCAATACCCCATCTGTTTTCAAAACTCATTTCTAAAGTCCCCGTGGTTTTCAAAAGCTGCACTCATGTCCCCTCCAATCAATTTTCGGCCAGTTTTCCGGCGAAGAAGGGGGGCATCGGTGCATATTTTTTGAACCATAGGGGGTATCAATGCTGATTTTTATTTCTCGCAATTTTTTTTTACATTTTTTCCTTTTTTGTTTCATTTATTAATAAAGGTTTTTAAAAAATATTTTTATAATGTTCTTAAAATTTAAAGTTATTTTTGTTTGAAAAACTTAACATATAATGCATATGTACGTCTCAAATTAACAAATTTTGTTTTTCCTGAATAAAAAGTAATTTTTTTTATAATTTCAAAAAAAATGAGGAATAAAATAAGAAACAAAATAATACAAAAATAAAAATGAATATCCTTTTTGGACATCTCAATTCTAAGGACTTTTTTAGGCGTGTCCAATTTTTTTTTGTATAAGACTTTTTTTCCGTATTTTAATTTTTTCATTTCGATTTTCCATATTTTATTTTTTTATTCTAGGTTTTTTTGAACTTTCCAAAAAATTGTTCTAAGTAACAAAAAGTGAAAATGTTTAATTTGAGATAGATGTAATAATGTATGTTAATTTTTATTTCTATTTTTATTTCAAACACAAAAAATTTTAAAATTTTTGAATTATTATATATAATTGAAAATATATCTTAAAATATCTAGGAAAAGGAAAAAGAGAGAAAATATTTAAAAAAGGGAAGAATAATAAACGAAAATAAGAAATGAGCACGAATGCCCCCTATGGTTTAGACTTTATGCGTCAATGCCCCCTCTTCGCCGGAAAATGGCCGGAAAATGAGCAGAGGGGGTGTGGGTGCAACGTTTTGAAACCACGAGGACTTTAGAAATAAGTTTTGAAAACAGAGGGGGTATTGGTGCCAATTTCCCAAACCACAGGGGGCGTCAGAGCTATTTGCCCCCAAAAGTATGAATCAATACTTTAGGGGGCGTTTGGTTCATGCTGAGGAAAGGGAAAGGAAACAGGAAAGGGAATCAAGGGGAATGAGAATTGATGGGTATATCCTTATACCCGACCCGGATAACCGAAAGGGACAGGTCAAAATATGACCGGTCACTTTTATCAAGTCACCAAATGATGTTAACTCTTCGATTGGGATGAGTCAAAAATTGACCGATCACTTCCACTAAAAAAGTGACCGGTCACATTTGGGGCGATAGCCAATTCGTCACTTAATGTTGCGAAGGATATTCCAGAGGACCAAAGAGATGGGTTGAACTCAAGAAATGACCGGGTAACCTTTGAGGAAAGGTGACCGGTCAGGTTGCGCTACTTGAGAAGGGCAATCAACATCAGAGGCTAGGGGACACCCCGCCGCTCATCCATCACGAGGCAAACAGTGAAGGGAATGATTGACGTTTTGCAGGATTGATTGGATTGAGAATATCTATGTTATAGTCTTTGACTGAACAGTGCATGTCTTGGCTTGTAGTTGCTAGATTCATTGATTGAATAGTAAATTGATTATGTACAGTGACCTTCCTCCGGGTTTCCCATTTTGTCCATGGATGAACATGGGAAGGTCACAAATCCTCCTTTATAAATATGATGATATTGGATAGAGGAGGGGATCCATTCTTTATCTCACTAAAACTAGTACACTCTTGAGACAGAGTAAGAAATATATTTCGGACTGAGGAGATTTACCCGGTCTAGGTCATACTTTGTGTTCTTGTTGTGTGTTTTATATTACGGGTCGAGTGTCCAGGTCAAACCCGGTTAACCCGCCCAGCTATATTTACACCATCATTTTTGGCGCCACCCGTGGGACCGTTTTTTTAAAGTTTTTTCGACCAGGTCAAAACTTTGCCCCCACTAAATATCTACAATCATGTCTTCAAGCAACCACAACGTTGTTTCAAGCTAGGCTGTGAGTGAAAGCACTCCTGCCATCCCACTGATGATGACAAGCATGGGGACGACCTTTGCCCCAATCACCACTGTAGGATCGATTGGCATGATCCCGATCATGTCAACCCCTACTCCTACGCCAACAACAACAATGTTCCCAGGCTCGATAACAACGCCTGGTGGAGCATTCACACCATATCCGTCAGCTTGGGC